GGGAGTCAGCCCAGCCTGGTAGACTCAGCCAAGGCAGGTCCAGTCTCTTCTTCCCTACACCAAGGCTGAGCAAAATGTCCCAGCATAGGCCCCAGGCTCCTTGATTTTAGCTTTTTATTTTATTTTATTTATTATTTATTTTTAAGACAGTGCATTACTACTTAGTCTTGGCTGACCTCAAGCTGACTATATAGACCAGGCTGGCTTTGAACGCTGGGATTAAAGGCATGTACCACCATGCCTGGCTTGTTGTTTGGTTTTTCACAATATCCTTGTAGATAACAATGAAATGTGGGCTGGATAATAGAATAGTCAAGTGTGTTATCCTCACGCTTCAGTGAGACACCTTTTGAGGCTATGATGAAGCACTCAAGCTCAGTTCTCAGACCTACTGTTCCACATTTACTTATTTATTCATCTATTTTATTTATTCATTATTAATTTTTGTCTTTTGAGATGCTAGGGATTTCAAACATTTTTATCTGCAACAGCCACTTGAAAGTCTGTGGCCACCACAATTCCAGAGAGGAAAACATCCAACAAAATTAATGTTCTAAAATTTCTTAGCTAACTAGAAAATCTAGACCATTTTCTCTTGTCAGAAAATTTTGACTAGTGTTCTATATCACAAGAGTGTTAGTAAGCGTATCTGTATACATAGATTTGTTGGGAGCTTTGTTTATGGGGTCCTGTGGGAAAATCTGAGTGTCCCATGGACTGGCCTTGCACGTTCCTTCTCTTCTCACATGCTCATAGACTGGAAGGGACTATTAGCATTCATCTGTCGTGCTCCCTGGGGACAAACTTCACTGAAATGCCAAGGCAAGGGGAAGACTGCCTTCCATTGGAAACCAGGCTGTGAGAGCTCAGAATGCTTCATTAAAATTCCTCCACTGAACCATGCATATTATAGAAAATTAATTTGTAATTATGAGAAAAATCAGATTGATTTCAACCCAATCAGTAAATTGTTGAGAGGCATTTTTTGTTGCTGGCTGTTGAAGCTGCTGTTATCAGAGGGTAATGACAGAGTAGAAAATGGAGATTAGACAGAGAAAAAGTGATTAAACACTAAGCTTTAAGAGACAAAAAGTATACATATTATTAAAGGAGTTCATCCCAGGGAATAAGTAAAGCATGCCTAATACAGCATCAGCTGTGTTTCCAGATGTTGTCTGCATTGCTTTGTATCACTTGAAGACTTGAGCTTTGTCTCTCCCTCATCATGTAAGCTTGGATTCATTGTTCAATCTCTTTATGCCTCAGCATCCTCATCTGTACAGTTGGGGACGAGGCAATAACTACTGCATGGGGTTATTGAACAATTAAATGAGATACCTCAAAAATACTTGTAGAACATTGATTGACACAAAGCACGTGCTCCAGAATTAGTAATGATTGGGGTTCTGTATTTCCACACTAACCCCTTTTCTTCTTTTGCTTCTCTGTTAATAAAAAGATGTTTAGGGAGCATCCATGGTAAAGAAGATAATATATTTGGAGTCTATGGTAACCTTTGGTCTACTTTT